ATATTCCAAACTGGTTGGGGTCTAGGGGGTCAGTTGTACGCAGACCTTACCCTTGTAATTATACAAGGAGGCTGTTTCCGTAGCGACCCAAGGTGCATTGCGTCGTTTGATACATTTTTTTTCTAGAAACTTCACTAATAGAAGAAGCACTAGAATTTAATTGAGTCATTTTGATCTAGTCCATTATTAGTACTATGCCAGGAGAATTGTCAACAAGAACTCTTCCAGCTCCATTTGCAATGGACAAACAATAATTCCAAAAATTGGAAAAAAAAAAAAGCACAGTTCTCCATTCGAGGTTAACTTTATACGATAGCAGGTAAGACAATAATACTTGACTAAGCGACATGGAATCAGTGGACAGCAAATTGCAGCCAGAATTTACTGCGAGTTATTTGCCTTAAAATAGTGAACCAAAAATAGAATACCTCTACTTTGGATTTTTCCATGCGCGACTGATCGAGTTGTTTAGTCAGTTCTGCATGCGAAGCTCTTAAAGATTTAACTTCTTTCACAAGTACTTTGATATCAGCTTTGGACTTCAGTTCCAGCTCCTGATGTCGCTTAAACAAGTCCTCATATTGCTGTTTTGTGGAAATTAATTCATGGGACACCAAATCTTTCGGTTGATCATATGACTGAGTGTCCAACCGGTGGGCCTGGATAAAGTATTATAACAAAATAATAATAATTTATTGATCCAAGATCAGTTATAAGCACAAGGACAAGGTACAGCAAACAAGATACATAACCTGTTCCGATTTTAACTTCAGCTCCAGTTCCATTGACCTCTGCTTGAGTTCTTCCATATCCCATTGCATCTGGGTCACTCTTTCCTGTTCGATTAATATAGCTTGTTCAAGATTTTCTTTACTTTTTTGTTTAGTAGTTTCGAGCTCCACTTCCAAATCCTTCACCTGGGTGAGTAAAGAAAAAATCATTGATTTTACATCCTATAAATATAAGCATAAATAGAGGGGTGCAGTGAAAAATCTGATTGTAATATCCTTTTACTACACTTACTGCAAATTACCATTCATTTCTATAGACTCCTAGTGCTCTGTGTCGCAAGAATTATAAATTTTTTAACTCTCTTGTGCTTGTTCACATTCTATTTGTTTGGACCACAAACATACACCAGCTAAATTGTTTAAATTTCCCAAATCCATAAGAAATAATAAACCTTCCATACTTGCTTCACTAAGCATATGATCAGGACTGAAACTAAAACATACCCGAAACAAATTTTGGAATTTTGATCATTTACTTGAACCCCCTTCCTTACCCATCCAACGGGATAACTTTCAACAGGCCATTTCAATTCAAGCTCAGTCCCACAAGAGATCAAACTCGCTAATGGTTTGGAGAGTAGAATCTAATATACTGAGACAAAGCTCAAAAGCATTTGTGCTCCCAATTTCAGAAATCAGAACCCAGTGAGCCTACAATCTACGTTAACTTCGTATCAAGTTTTTGCTTTTCTAATGTAAGATAGGTCATCAAAAGTAAAACCAAAATTAAAAAACAACAGTATGCTACTACCTTTGTCGCAAGGTAGTCCTTCACAGCAATTTCTTGGTTCAACCTCGATATAAGATCCTCCATATCAGTCTTGGCCGTGGTCAGCCTACGCTGCAATGTCATGAATACTCTATTCACTTTCTGGCGCTGATCCATTGGGACCAACAACTGTACATCATCTGATAGCAGCATTTCAAAATCACCGGCAGGACCTCTTCTCGAGTTCTCGGGCCCACTTCTATAATCAATAAGCCCAAGCCCGTTGGAGTTGGGAAATGCCGAATTTGACAGCTCACTTCCCCTATCAGAACTCCTATCACTCCCTATACTCTCGCTCGACAGCTTCCTGACATGGTGGGGTCCACGGTCTGGCTCAGACCAAGAGACTTTAGAAGGACTTCCATTACTCATATCACGTTCCGCATTATAGTGAACCACTGTCGAGTTCAATTTATGCCTCGGAAAATTTTCCAGCTTCTCCATAATGCTATGTCCCATGGACAAGCCCTCGTCGATATTTAACATGCCTTGCTTCACAAACTTATCCACTTGACTTGTTATGTCGTTGTAAAATGATAAGTCATCTAAACCGAGTTCAGAGCTGTTATCCCTTGCGAGATCCGCAGTAAGGCTTGGGCTGCCAATCTCAGATGTCTCGTAAGCTGTATCACTGCCATAATCCGATGCCAGAGATGTACTGCCGGCTGGCATGGGAAGGCTCGAGTTCTCAAGAACACGAAGTGCTGGGTCTGTTGCGCTTAGAGGCGTGTGTGCAACCGAACTGGGTTGACTGTCTTCCTGGAATGCTGAAAAAGAAAATCAACAATTTGTAAATATAATCGCTGTAAGCTAATCAGAAAATGGTATAGCACTAATACGACATAACTTAACTGAGATGAAGCGACGTTTAGACTTTCATTTATAGTCAAAAAGTATATTATCGGATAAGTACTGATACATACCTGAACGAGCAGCAGCTTCCAGTTCCAAAAAGGATGCAACAACAAGGCTTCTTGACAAGTCGATGTCTGATAGTAACTTTGTCATCCATTCTTCCAAAGAACTCCTTCTCTGCAACAAACAAAACCTCTTACAATCCTAACAGTTATAAGTAGAAACATTAATTAAGATATAACAAAGTATAAGGTATTTCCTTAGGGTACATCAAGATAGAACCTATTCCAAGAAAGGCAAACACACACACCAAAAAAAAAAAAAAAAAA